CTGTGTGAGCTCCTGTGATAGTACTCAGCTACTGGGCAGTGACAAGAAGTGAAGCTGTCATCAGCTCTCTAGCTCACCTCCCTGTGCGAATGAGATTCCCCTTCGTTTGTACCTTGTCTCATCCTGGGAAACTCGATTCACTGGTGGGTACAGACATGACTGCAGAGAAGAGGCAGTGGTGTATTGCTCCAAGGAAGTTCATAGCAGTGACCCAATTGTGTATTGGGAAACTTTATTAACTGTGTTCACAGGTTGATAAAGTCAGTAAGTACTTAACGGAAATGTGCAAAATTATGTTCATCAGCAGTTAGGCAGGGCTACGAATAAAGTACACAAGAGTTTAGGAACAGCTGGGCTAGATCAGATCGGACCCTATCTAGTCCCTTGTCTTTGACAGCAACTAAAAATAGTTCCACAGAGAAAGGGTATTGCACGTTATGGTGTCCCTGTGCTTTTAGATGCCTCGAAGCAAAACAAAGCTGTGGTTTCAAGACAGATGTTTCCTTTAGTTTTGAGACTTACACTGAGGTAGTTTAGATTTTTTTATGCCATTCCTTTTAAGACTGATGAAACATTTTCCAGTTCAGGTGTGAAAGAGTACCATGAATTATTTTATGGTGTGATCAGAAATGTTTTCTGCAGTACTTGACTCCATAAGTTCTTTCAGGGACACACAATGGTATAGGATTTTTTTTCCCCAAAGTAATTTAATGATGTAATAACTGTTGCAAATTGTTCATCTTGTATCATACAGGACAGAAGTTGTTTATGAAAAGTTATGTTTGATACTGTCTATTCACTTCTTAAACTGAAAAAAAAAGAGTGCTAAGTCTTTATGGGTCTATCCTGATGGAATTTTGATGTGGAACAGAGCGTCTGTTAGGAAAGAACATGTGTCCTGAGACTTTGTAGCTTGGACATTGGGAACATTAAAGCAATGTATCTCCCTTGGATCTCCTCATAGCAGTTGTAACAAAGTTGTTAAAATTATGCTCGCTAGTATTTCAGTATAAAACTTTTCAATTATATGGTAATTTATTAGGAAAATAAAAAGATATGTTTATTTTGATCATATGATCATTTCTTAATGTTGAAAAGGGGATCTGTTTAATACATTTTAGAGTTTTGCAAGTGATGTCTTCACTACTTTTAGGTGGAAAAAGCGTTCCAACGTTTTTCCACAATATTTTGGGCCTTGCAACTGTAGAGAAGTTGTTGACATCATTAAATCAGAGCTCTTATTTCGCATGTTCTCTGTTTTTTTCCCATTTAAAATGGATTTCAGTGTGCCAAGAGAAGTAAAATTAAAGCCTTTCCTCTTGAAATAGAGAATTTGGGTTTTAATGGTAATGGTTAGCTATAATAGAAGGGTAAAGTTACTAAATAAGCAATAGCAGCAGAGTCTCTTTTGTTCATTAGAAAACAGGAATGTATGTCTATAAAATAATTCAAACATGTTATTATGAACTAGTCTTTTTGGATCAATGTTTATTCCTTTTTCCACTTTTCAAGAAGACAGTGAGGCTGTTGTACAGGGTCTCCTCCAAGTGACTGTAGGTTATATGGTTGACTGCTGTTTCTGGTCCACTAAATTAGTTTTAAAATTAAGTCTTTTTAAAAACAAGAATCTTTCCAAAGCAGGCTTCACCTCTGTGATTGGGACATTCTACAACGTGATCATAGGCTGATTCTAACCCCTTTAAGCAGTGATTTGACCTGAATTTTGGTCTCCCAAAACATGTTTGTTAGCTTTAGCAAGGAGTGTTTGTATAAAAGTCATAACACATGTTGATACTGCATGTTCATTGTTGCTTTAAAGCTGAAGGAGTAACTCTTTGGTGGCTGTTTCAGGCTGTAAATCCGAAGAGGATATAGGCAGGTCCCTATGGTTATGTTTCTAAATGCCCATGCTTCCAAATGAGTAGCGATTTTGAAGCTTACTTAAGGAACTATCAAAATTCCATAGCACTAGATATTGTATTGGTCTAGAAACTTAAAATCCACAGACTTGTTCTCTGAAAAATGCTTCATATAAGAAGTCATCAGGATTATTATGTAAAAATATTTTAGTAGTATTTTCTCATATTCTTAATACTTTACTGTCTGTGTACATTAGCCTATAAACATAGCACTTAGATTAGAAGATGTTTTCTCAGGAGAGTTTCAACTGGTCAACCTTTGTGTTACTATACAAAAGACGTGATTAACTGTTTATTTTGTTGCCATGATATAACTGTTTACAAAGTGGTAACTTGAGAGAGATCTTTGTTTTCTTTCAGTTAAAGAGTAAACAGATTGTTTGGAGGGAAGTGGTCAAATCATGCTTCCCAATTCTGAATTTTTTTCTTACTGAATGCTAAGGGGGTTTTGCACTAAGTGCAAGCGTGATGCATATTTCAGAATCAAAATTCAGAAATGGTGTCAACAGCTCTCTATAGGGTTAAGAGTGATTTGTAGCTTTGCCGTGGGGTGATCTCTATTCTTTATTAAATTGCAATGGAAAATGGAGAAAAGTGTATATTATGACCTCCACATTTTTAAGGTCTCAGGGTTTCTAACAGCCTCAACACATGGGAATTAATAATAATCTCACTTTGGGAAGTTTTTGATGCCTTTATGTTTCTGAGGCTTTTGTGTTTGTTTTGTTTGGTGTGGGTTTTTTGTGTTTTGTTTTGTGTTTGGTTTTGTTGTTTGGGTATTTTTTTGGGAGGGTTGTTTTTTGGGGTTTTGTTTTTATTTTTAAGAAAGATCTTTTACATTATATTAGAGGAAACATTCCTTCTAGTTATTGCATCAAATTCAGAAGGCCACCCGAGCTTCCATGGTAACAACCTTATTTTTGTTGGACACCTTTGCAGTTTTTATCTTACAGAAGTGTGTGTCCTTGTGCAGAAAACAAAGTTCAGGCACATCCTCAAAGTTCTGTCATCACACAAGAGTATCTAATGATTATTACGGTACTTGGTCCATACTATTTTCTAAGACTTCTGGGTCTGATAATACTTTAGCAGAACTATTTTCCATTCTCAATCTAATTACCTTCTTGAAGTATATTAATTTCCAGTATAAGCCTGCAAAAATTGGTTATTTGCCTAAATATATTTCAGAGAATAACCAGTAACTGTAGGGGTTTGTGTTGAGCTGTTCTTGCATACTTTTGTCCTTCATATCACCTGAAACAGAATATTGTATGTAAAAACTCAGCCTGTCTATTCACCATTCTGGACCAAACTCAGCAAATCCCTAAGGTGTCACTTCTGACCATACTTTACCAAACAAAATATCCAAAGCAATCTTTTTACAGAAATCCACGTATCTTAGGAGTGTTCCTTAGGTGAAATATTTTCTTTTGATTCACTGCAGATGAAGTACATTGTGCTTTGCCTGTAATAGTTTGAGGTAGAGCAATGTGATTTTGTTTTTGTTGTGGTTGTACGGCTTCAGAGAAAACAAAACTCAGGTGTTTGTATGTACTGCCTGTAACACACTAAAAACGTTGTCTGGAGCCCCTTTGCTGTGGAATGCTGGGTGAACAGTGCTTAGGCTGCTGGTAGGACGTGTCTGTCGGTGAGGCAGTAAACTCACAACTCAGGAGTTAATATGTGTCCTTTGAAGGTTTATGATGTGAGGTTGTCTACACCTTTTATATGCTTTTTAAAAAGTGAAACCTGGTATTAAGGCATTTCATCCTGTGTTCTGATCCATTCTAAAGAGGAAATTATTAGGCTGCATACCTATAGGACTGAAGAAAACAGTACACATTTTTTTCATGTCTCAGAGAACAGCCCAGGAGAAAGTGGAAAGTATTTGTGTGAAGAATGATGACTTGCCAGTGATCTGTAATCAGTTCCTACTACCCACCTATTCCTATGAGAAAGGAGTGTAGAATTCAAGAAATATGAAAGATGTTAGAATTACCTTCAATTTTTATTGAGATTGTTCAGTAAAATAAAAATATTAACTACTTATAATCAGATTTTTGACCATTGTAGAGAATGTATATAATATTAAAATCTGGAGCAGAATGTTAAAAATACTTCTTTTCTTCCAGAAGCTGAATTCCTCCCTAGGGAAGCAGAGATCTATTTGTAAACATGTACTATTGCATACCTAAGCAGACTTTCCTAGCAAATGTATTGCTGAAACTGCTTTATCAGCATTGTCTCTGAAGTGGTGATTTGCTATCTAGAAACTTTAAAATAACCACTAACTGAATATTTCATAGTTTTGACAAAGTCTGATTAGTCCTCTAAATGGGCAACATGATCCTGATCCTACACAGTATAAAAATGTAGCAAACTATTGTACAAATGTATGTGACCTAAGAATTTGAGTTTTTGTTTTTGTTTTTTTTTAAATCAAACCTTATTTAAAAAAAAAAAAAGGCATCCATATAGAAATTAATGGCTTCTCTAGCTCCCTGTATTCAAACAGAATCTGGTGAGTTTTCAGGATCATCTCTTTTATCGATGAAATTTGAGTTGGAAGAGAATTTCACTCCAAAATGTTTGGTAGAAAATCCAGTACCATGTATATTTTAAGAAATGTGATTCTTGCACTGCTAGAATGTTCATAGCTGAATGACTTTTATTTATCTCATTTTTAAAACTGATTGTACCCTTTAAAAAGTTTTAAATTCAGTTAATCAAGACAGGACCAATTTGAGGATTTTGTTATATTCTCCTTTTCTAAAATCTGATTTTGTGGAGGTGTATCTGGGGCCACAGTTTGATCTATTGTGATTAAGTAGAATTTCTGTCAATAGAAATTAAAATTTATGACATATGACATAATCTTGAGCTTCTAGTTTTACATTTAATGTTTTTATAATGAAATAATATTAAGAAATAGACTACTGTGTTGCTTCAGTATATGATATACTGTAACTTATTTATAGTAGTAAGAAGGGTTTAAATCAGAAATGAGCAGTCCTGTTAGTGGCAGAGAATAAATAAAGCTGTGTTTCTAGAGATATGGGTTGCAACACAGAAGCTTGGTGTTTATTTGATCTTCTGTGGTTTAAGAACAACACTGCAGTAGGATCTTACGCAGGAAAATGCATGGGGTGATAGCTGTCTTGTATTGATATAGTTGTTTTCAAGATGAACATGTTCCAAGCGTGACTCTTGATTCTCCTCCGCTTCACTGTTGTCGTGAACATCATCATCATTGATATGAGTCTTGCAGATGAGTTCTGGAGGGACCATCCTGTGACATTGTGGGAGGAATTATATTTTAGTTATTCAGGAAAACTTCATACCTTATTTTAGAGGTGCTGTTTATTTGGAAATTTGAAAATGTTCAATTGATCAGTACCTTAAATTTTCTCAATAATGTATTTATGGAGGACTTTAAAAATTCATTCTTTTTAAAATTCTTTCCTTGCATTTTCTCATTTTTATCACATACCTCGTTTTCCCGAGGGAAATGTTACCATGTGTTGCTGAGGGAAAACTTTGTGTAACAAAGGTCCTGTGTTGATCATCCCTTTGCTTTGTAAACAGTAGAGGAGCTGAAGGGCACACCTGACTTTCACAACTGGCTGAAACCTGCCAAAAGGCCACTTCCAGTGGTCAGCAGTAGCTGATGGCTCCTTCCAGTTGTTCTGCAACCAGTTTGGGCTCCAGTTCCGGAGCAGAAAAAGCTGGTAGTTTTCTGTGCTATCAAAGGGTCGCAGCTGGGTGGCCCAGGCAGTATTACAGATTAATTTCCTGCAGAGAACTGGTGCTCAGCATTTTTGTGAGCATTTTCCAGACCTATGAGGAAGGGTGAAATCTCACTTTTCTCCTGTCATACACAAAAACACTGCAGTAGAAAACTCAGGATTTAGCTGATCCTTCAGAATTGTTTGGTTTTTTGTTTGTTTTTTTTTTTTAAAAAGCAACTATTTACTTAAAAGTAAAAATTTCTTAAAACAAAGCCTGTCTTGTGACATTTATTTTAATGCCATTGATGTAACAAAATGCTTGGAAATTACCTTATTTTATTATTGTTCAGTCGTAGAAAACGTAATTTTCTCATTTCATCAATTCCAAATGGTACAGACTTTAATTCATTGTGATCTAAAAACAACTCTCTCAGAGAGTGGTATGCTCCGAAAAACGATACCGGATCTATTCCATCATCAGTGAGTTTGTTAAAGGACAGGTAGAGATACTCCAGCCCTGGCTCCATGTGACCAAAAACATACCCTGGGATCCTTTCAATCTGATTTCCTATAAGTATCAGATGTAGTAAAGATCTTGGCAGATAGGAGGGAACATGATATAGCTTATTATAAGAGAGATCAATTGATTCCAAGTTCCTGCATTAAAGGAGAAAAAAAAATGTGGGTGAAAACATTATAGTGTATTATTGATACTGCTGCATTCTGTGCAGAGTAGTGCTTAACGGGGTGGCAGGGGAACAGAATGCAAAGGAAATTTGTGTCTGTTAATGGAACTGTGCGTTTTATGGAGCATGGTCACGCATAATTACCCTGGGAATAGAAAGAATTGAAGTCATTAGTTACCAGTCAAGCCAAATGATTCTGTTGATGGGAAGAAATCTACAGTCATGAGTGCAGATTGAAGATTGAACATGGGAAACCCAGGGGACTAATCTGTGATTAACATTGTGGAACTGCAGTAACGAGTTACACTGCAGAATGCATAATAAACTTGGGACTTCAGTGGTTATCCCAATGACATGGATTTTTAAGTTTTGTTTTAAAGCCCATTCGAAAGTGAATTGTTTTATGAATGGCTCCTTTGGAATCATCCCAATGTGCTTCACTCCCAGAGATGAGAGAAGCCATTGGTAACAGCGTGGTTTCAGATGAAGCAGTTTACAAATGCAGAACTCAGCTGATAGGACTGCAGCTGATGGGCTGTGGCAAGGTACCCCGTGGAGCTAAGCACATCATTCACCAGAAGACTCAAAAGCAGTAGCAGCTTTTGTTGCTTTCATTCTAATATTACAGAATCACAAAATGGTTTGGGTTGGAAGGGACCTTAAAAATCATCTAAGTTCAAAGCCCCCTGCTGTGGGCAGGGAGACCCCCACCAGACCAGATCTCTTAGAGCCTCATCCAGCCTGGCTGTGAAGGCTTCCAGGGATGGGGGCATCCACAGCTGCTCTAAGCAACCTGTTCCAGTGTCTCATCACCCTCACAGTAAAGAATTTCTTTGTCTTTTCTAATCTAAACCTACCCTCTTTCAGTTTGAAGGTATTAATTACCTCTTGTCCCTCCCATTACACTCTCTCATAAAAGAGTCCCTCCTCATTTTTCCTGTAGAACTCACTCCTCTTACACACTGTGGTTTCAGTCTTCCCCTTATCTGATTTACTTTTATAATTTTTAATCTAATGAGAAATAAGGCTAGGACAAGATTGAATTATTTTAAAATAACCTGTGAGATTATTATATATTAATACCAAATTATCATATAATTCTATGGAGTATTATTGATAATCAATGTGTACTTTTGATGGGATGGTCAGGAAAAGTACTTAAACTTCTGTGTCAAGATAGTATAGATTTGAGGTATAAAATCTTTTTGTTTGAAAGCCAGCTCTGAATACTTCCTAAATTATAAAATTTAAATGAAAGAAATTAAGATGAATTAGCTAAGGAAAACAAGCAAATTGAAAGATAACTACAATTTCAAGTTAAAAGTAATTAAGTGCAAATATTTATTTCATTATCTGACTCACTAATAATAGAGAAATATAAAATAATTATATTTTAAATGTTTCATACTTACTCTTGGTTTATCCAAGCCAAAGGTGCTATTCTCTGCTCCTCTAATTTGTTGTGCTTTAGCACAATGACATTTATGCTTCTTGTATGGTTGAAGCAAATTTCTGACACTTCTTCAATTTGATTATTTTCAAGGTATAACTCCTGCAAGTGCATTTGGAAAGAAAATTTGTGAAAGTAAACCATGCTATTCTTGCCCTTGAGAAGTTCAAACTGTAGCTGTTGTCTCTCCTCCCCATTACCTGACATGTCTGTTAATTTCTGAATCAGAGTCAGTTTGTATCGGTAGCATGTCTTTCAGAAACACAATTTTTCAAAACATTTATTTTGTTTTCTCGTTTGTGAGAATACAAATTGCTTTGAAAGACCACATAGAAAAAGAATTGTGTCTTTTGTCTTGCCTGAAGTTGTAGAATGTATAAAATGTGAGAGTGATGAGATCGGCAAGATGTTGTTAATCTTTTTTTGTCTTGGAAAGCTGTTAGTGAGAAAAATATTGTCTTGTTTTCTTAGTATTTTTGCTGGGCATTTGTGAACTTTCAAATTTTTAGGAATTTTTTATTTAAAAGTTTTACAAATCTTGATGTTGTGAGTCTGTAGTGTATGAAAACTGCATGTTTTACACAGACTAAGTTCCTGGTAATGGCTTGTAGTATAGGATAAATATGGTGTGAAATAAATATGTAGGATCTGAAATAGAATTTAGGGCCTGTAGAGGAAGGCTTTGGGAAAAGTGAAAAGCAACTTCGTAGCCTGAAGATCATTGTTAGTGGATTTATTAGGTGTTGGTTTGAAATTAAATGTTCCCAAAGCGCATGAGGTGTAGAAACGCTTGCCAGGTGCTCGCTGTTCCATCAAGTAGGGATGGAGTGAAAGGAAAATGTAATGTATGAGTGAATGGAAAATGGAGAACATTAGGCTGAAGGAGAAGCTGATGTTACAGAAAAGATATTGTTGGGTTGGCTAGATCTGGGTTTTCTTTTCTGTTGGGTTTTTTTTTCTTGCATTGCAGATTATGGAAGATCCCAGGCATAAAAGGCAATGACGATGAGGCAATTGAAATGGGAAAGAGCAAAAGAAAAGATCGGATCAAGAGAGATAGTGAAATTAATAGGTAGCAGGAATCACCTTTGAAATAGAGATGGAGGTAAGCAGAGAATGAAACTAGACAGAGGTTTAAAAGGAGGAAGAAACTACATTCCAGATAACACCCTTTAAAAAAAAACCAAACTGACTCAACAAATCACATTTGAATTCTGGGCAAAGGAATGGGACAGGAGACTACCAAAAGAAGAAATTTTTTGATTAAAAATCAAGGAATAAGGAAACTGTTCAGGGAAGATAATTAAAACTCCTGTTCAGATACTGCACCCTACGCCAAATGGGGTGGAATTCAGCAAAGATTTGGAAAACCGGGGAAACTGAGACTTAGACCAGCCAAAAAAAAGGAAGAACATGGTTAGATATAGGCATCAAAAGAGTCTCTCTTTCAGACTAGATAATCTTGAGTCCTTTGTGTTTTTTTCTTATAAAACAGGTTTTATAGATCTCTCTTTATTCTTGTTGCTGTCTTGTGAACTTTACTCCGTGTGGTGAGCAAAGTTCACAATATTCTTGCACTAAGATATTATCAATGCTAGGAGTGTTATGTGAATTATATGTAGCTGAACAGCCAGAGTACAGAGGCTACACTATTTTGTGAGACAGTACTAGATAAATTCAGATTAAAAAGATACCTTTTGGGATGGAGAAATAATGATTTAGCAATCGATATAATTAGTATCTCTAGAAACACGTTTATAAAATTTAAATGTGTCTCTACCTGATGATAGTAGAGCAGTAAGTAGGGGGAAAAAAAAATAATATATCTGGGAAAAAAATAAGCTTTCTCATTTTAGTTTATTTATTTATTTATTTTTAGTGGGCTTGTTTGTTTTTTTTTGTTTTTACCTCAAGAGTGGCAGGAAGACCTTGTGGGATAATTCTAAAATTATTTCTTCCTAGTCGCAAGTAGGAGAGACTTTTCAAAGGATAAAAGGCCAAAGGACTGACATTTGCTTCATTAAGTTTATTTCCTTCTAATTCCAGGGTGACCAAGTTCTTTAAATCTGAGAAGAAAAAGTTGCAATTTCTGTCAGTTAATGCCATCTCATATCTGGTTAAAATGCACGTTCAAAATTTAACTGTCTTAAACGTTACTCAGATCAGTTCACAGCAATGAAGAAATACAGTGAAAGGGTTTTCATTTATTATCTCATAATCATAGAATTATGTTGTTTATTAGTTTGTCGACGTTTAGGGATTGACTAGGGCTTTATTTATAGCTTTCTGTCCCACTTAGAATGGAAAAGGAGGCAGCTGTGAGACTTTTGGGCAGGCCTTATTACTTCATGGCTATGTGGAGTTGATGTTTGGAGTAATGGGTGGGTGCTGAGCTTTGGCCTCCATGGGTCTGCAGTCCCCTTTCCTGTTTTTACTACTTTCAGCTCCCCCCTTCACAGATTATCCTTCTCCTCAGCCATCCAAATGCAGGTCACAGAAGAAACCAGTGTTGATCAATGTATGTCAGCAGTTTTATTTCATAATAATAAGGCCACAAATAATCCAAATAACTTTTTTTTTTTCCCACGGTAGCTTTGTGTAGCTCCTCCTAAAAGTGCAGTTTTCTTCTTCCAGACTAAAAGGTTCCTGCAGCCCTTAGCCTAGGTTTTCTCTCTCTTAGCTCAGGAATTTGTATTGCTCCATAGTGAGCTGTGTCCCCAGACTGATTCAGTTTGTAGGGGACCCTTTTGGCAGGAGACAAAAGGGAGCAAAAAAGTTAGATTATGACATGGATGATACTTTTTTTTTTTTATTATTATTTTTATTTTAGCTTGGATTAAAATTATCATGGTTAACTCCAATTATATTCTGGTTTATTTTCCCTGCACTTCAAATCCTATTCACTTTCATGCAATTTAAAAATAATTAATATAGTTTCACCACACAGAAAGTGATCAGGTTATGGGTCAGGACAGTAGATGTCTTCAACATACTTCAAATCCATCTCTACTTAGTACCCTTAAATATAAGCTTCTTTCAGAGAGTAGCAGTTGCGTAAGAAAGAAAAATGTAATTTTAAAAAACTTCCTCATGCAAATCTTTCAGCATTTGTTGCCTTTTGAAAACATGGCACTTAAAAGCTAGCAATTCTTTTTCTGGCTATATCAAACCAGATGTTCCATTGGATTGAACATTCTGCTTTTCAAATATATTTGAATCTTTTCATATGGTCTATATTAATTTTCTAAATACCTTGTAAGCTGTCTTCATCAATGGCATGAAGGTGGTTGTCATTTATTTTTATTTCTTCCAAAGCTGATGGCAATCCAGAGGGAATGTGTACCAGCATATTTCCATCCAAATACAAACGTTTTAGCTTTTTCAAGATCTTAATCACAGGGATGGAGGAGAGAACTTAGGTTATCAAGGTGTAAAATATATAGCTAAACATATAGCATTATCATAGTTAATGTTTTCTTAAACACATGCATTTTGAAGATTTTCAGTAGCAGTGCACTAGTATCCACTGTTTTGAATTAAATAAATGTTTTTCTTCTATCGGTCTAGTTAATTGGTTTCTTTATGCTAAATATTAACAAAGGTGCCAGTTAATGTCATGTGTAACTGGAATAGTTTGCCTGAGCACATAAGCTTTCCCATCATAACTACTTGT